AATGAGTGAATGAGTGAATGAGTGAATGAGTGAATGAGTGAATGAGTGAATGAGTGAATGAGTGAATGGTCTAGGCATAGCTAGAGTAGCTGGCATAGTCACTACTTGATGAAAAGGAAATAATTGAAGAAATTTAAACACATGACCTCTCGCGAAGAGGGTTGAGAACTACTAGTAAACCGAGTCAATCAAGCCACAGCTCACGAGCCATAAGCAAACACATCACAGGAGAGCAAAGCACAACATGACAATTTAGGCGGTGGTATTTTACTTTTTTTCATTTTCCTAACCCAGGGACATAAAAAGAAATCACTACACACTCCTCTGTAGAGACGCTATTTAACCCTTGGCAGCACCGGCCTTGAAGAGGATAATGTCACCATCCTCGACGACGTAATCCTTGCCCTTGGTCATAATCTTGCCCTTGGCCCTGACCTCGGCTTCGTCACCGAGCTCCTTGATGGCGCTGTAGTTGTAGACAATGGCCTGGATAAACGTCTTCTCAAAGTCGCCGTGGATGACACCGGCAGCCTGGGGAGCCTTGGTGCCGTTGCGGATGGTCCACTGGCGGACCTCGTCGGCACCGGTTGTGAAGAAGCTGCCCAGCTGCAGAGCCTTGCGCATCTGGACAATCAGCTTGGGCAGAGCGGACTCGGCGCCAACCTTCTTCTGCTCCTCCTTGGCCTCCTCCTCAGTCTCGAAGCGGGTCAAGCGCTCTTCGAATGAGACGGAGATGGGGATGATGGGGTCGCCCTCGGCGTGCTCCTTGATCCACTCGGCAACCTTGGGCAGGTACTTGTTCTTCTTTCTGATATAGTCCTTCTCAGACAAGTTGACAAGGTAGATGACAGGCTTGGCTGTCAACAGGAACAGAGGGTTGATGACCTCGATCTGATTGAAACTGTCAGCATTGTGGCTACCGCTTCAGAAGCTAAAGGAAACGCGACAGAGTTGCAAAGCAATGGGTTCAGAATATTTTTCTTCTCAGTATGTCATGGACATTCGAAGAGCTGGGTTTATATTGGTCAGGCCGTCAAGGCCCTTTGTCATCAGGGAAATTGCAGGAATTGGACGCGAAAAGGAAAACAAAAAACAGTTTGCTTACCTCCTTGGGAGTCCAGTTACCCTTGCGGACTTCCTTGCCGTCCTGAAGCCAGGCCAGGACCTTCTCAATCATCTCCTGTTCAATCTTAGCCTTCTTCAGCTCTAGACTCTGGCCACCCATGCGAGTCTTCTTCTTCTGGTTCTCAAGAGCCTTCTCGACAAACTCAATATCCTTGAGTCTCAGCTCCTCGCTGATAATGTCCAGATCACGGGTAGGGTTGACATCACCCTCGACGTGGATAATCTCAGCATCGTCGAAGCATCGGACGACCTGGAAGATGGCATCGACAGCGCGGATGTGGGAAAGGAAAGCGTTTCCAAGACCAGCTCCGGTAGAAGATCCGCGAGTGAGACCGGCAATATCATAGATGGTCAAGTTGGCGGGGACGACGGACTTGGGCTTGTATTTCTCAACGAGCCAGTCGAATCGCTCATCGGGGACGATGACACGAGCTTCTTCGGGATCAATGGTGGCATAGGGAAAGTTCTTCAGGCTGTCAGCACCCCGGATGAAGAAAGACGGGCGGGGGGCTTCATACAGCTGGGTTGCCAAGGTTGCACTTTGTGATGGCCTGGAAGAGGGTAGATTTGCCGACGTTGGCAAGGCCGACCTGGAGAGCGGACGACGAGTTAGGAAATCTGAAGCACTCGCATAGCAGAGGAGGGGCAGGCAGCCACTAGGGCTGGGCCAGAGAGTAATTGCTCACAATGCCACTCTTCAAGTTGTTGCCAGGCCTTCCCAGAGGAATCTTCTCCTCGACAACGGCCTTCTTGGGAGGCATCTTTCTTGATTTTGCGTAGTGACGGGAGGGGATAAAGGGGACAAGGAGTCGAGAGGGCGGAAACGGTCCAAAGGCTGCAGACCTTGCTGCGCGCGATGGAGAAACGAAGAGAAGAGAAGCCAAAAACGAGGCTGAGGACGCGACGGAGGGCGCCAATGTGGCCGTCGGGCTATTGCAAGCCTGGAGCGACCGACTGGAGAGAATATCGGACGCTGGAAGAGCAACGGGGCGCAGATGGAAGCTGGCCCTTTTTTTGCCTTCTTTTTTATAATTTTTTTTTCCTGGAGAGGAGGGGAGATGGTGAGAATGAAATTTGAGCATTGACCCCACATTGCTTGGGCTTTAGCTGAAGCTCAGGTCGGGCTCGGCGCTAGATTTTCCCGGGTCTTAGTCAGGGCATGCGTCATAGGGCAGGCAGAATCCACTGCTGGAGCTGTTCGGCATTGCGGCGCTGCCGGAAGCGATTGAGCTGAGAGGCGCTGCGTCGCTATTGAAGAGCTATTGAACCGGGCACTATTGGCCGCCCCGGGGCCTGTATGGAGCAGTACTGAGTTTCTTCTTAACAGGGCATCTCCAGCTCTGGGGAGCCGACGTAAGCAATCCATCTCATCCATCTCAACTCAACCGTTCAATCTCACCTCGACACAATCATCACCACCAAGCTGAGATTGGAACACTTAATCCGTCTTCATTCTTACGTGCTGCTCTTGTTCTCGCCACTGTTCTTTGTTTATGCACTTCTTTATCTTGTCTCTTCAAACCCGAATCCCCGCATTGTTTCACGACTTACACGCGAGAGACAGACTATCTCCATCTCCATCCTCCATCCTCCATTTCCCTCTCCGCATCGCAATCGCAGTCGCAACCACAACCACAGTCGCAATGCCTTCGCAACAACATCACCACTCCGGCCAGCGCACCAGCAGACATAGGTCGACGCTGTCGCTGCAAAAGACGGAGATCAAGATCCACGTCTATGACCTTTTACCGGTAAGTCCGCCTACAACCCCAACGCTGGGCTTTTCGCCACAGCTCTTCGTTGTGCAACAGCTCTGCTCTGATAAGCCATCGAGTGCTCCGATTGCTAACGCATGCTCGACTTCAATAGCCCGGAAGAGTCGCCTCTGTGTTGTGGACAATAGGGGCATCTCTGCTTCACTCGGGAGTGGTCATCAACGGTCGAGAATACGCGTATGGCGGCCACGATAGGCGCGGAGTCACCGGAGTGTATTGGACAAAGCCCAGGACTGAGCCTCCGGGAGGCACCTTCAAGTGCGAGATTCTGCACGGCTTCACGCTTGCCACGTCGGAAGAAGTCGACGCTGCTCTGCGAGACGCTTCGGAAGAGTTCCTCGGGACTTCGTACAACCTGCTCACAAAAAACTGCAACCATTTTACGTCATATCTGTGCAAGAAGCTGACGGGAGATGCGGGCCCCGGGTGGCTGAATCGAGCCGCGAGCATTGGAGTCGCACTGCCTTGCGTCGTGCCGAGGGATTGGATCGAGCCTCCAGAGTACATAAGCGCAGATGGCGAGCTTGTCGATGATGAGGACGACGATGAGCATGCGGATGAGGGGTCGCGCATGCTGGGGCAGACGAGGCCGCATCTTCTCTCGGAACGTGACAACGAGTGGAACAGCGACGACGAGCGCCGCAGAGGAGGCAACGGCAAGGGGAAGCAGATCCTCCGGGACACATCAGGCAGACAGCTTCCGGCCGCAGAGAGGGCTATTCGGCCGTGATAATGGCTCTGTCCAGGGAGCATTATCTTTGTCGTCATCTTTTCTTTTTACTTTTGTTGATGGGCAGATCAGATTGGCGTTTATGGCTCAGGCCTTTCCCTTCGTTTTCCTAACATTTGCAGGCTATTGGGTCGGAACGATACCATTATATTTCATGAGGGTCAGGAGTTTCATGTCATGAGTTTGATGTCGTTACGGTTTGCGACTGCAGCCTAGCTTGGGTGGTTCATTTCTGTTGTCTTTTTTTTTTTTTGTTCATTCTTCTTTGGTATAGTTTGTACAAGATATGGTACATTCGGCAGCATGTCATCATATAGCTGATGCAACCGAGCATCTACAAGCGTCTTGGCTTCTCGCTCCTTGTTCCTGCAAACTTGATCCTTGTTGAATCCGCAACCCGCACAATCTTGTCCCGCAACACCTTGCCTTCCGGGCTCATCAGCACCTTGACAGCAGCCTCTCTGCCCTGGCCAAACCCTCGGAGGACCAGCTCGAGACGCTGGATCTTCATTGGCCATCCTGTGTGAATCAATCGCTCCAAAACGTATTTTGTCAAAGAGTAGGCCGAGTCGAAGGTGCCCCGCCGTGATTTCCTGAAGCCAATGTTGCCGCATGACATGGAGATGATGGGTTCCCGATTGGGCTTTGTGCATGTAATGTGAGTGTTGTGCTTGTGCGAGTAGACGTGGAAATGGAATGGCTCCAATTCATCCTCCTTCTTCTGCGCCGCCTGCGAGGGACCGCCTGACAGGACGCTGGTGTCGATGTTGGACTTGCTGAGGGCCTGGAAGACCATGCTTTGGGAGAGGCTTCCCATGGGGTTGGACTGCGCAGACCGGCTGTTTGGCGCTTGAGTAATGCTGTAGATGCTGTCGAGGAGCGACTCGGTTCGAGGCTTTGGAGGCACCGCCTTGGGTGGTTCTGGCTTTGCATCTTTTGAATCCTCCCATCGTGCGCTTGTCTGGGACAGACACCGGACGCTCTGGATGCCGTTCCGTGATGCGACCGTCTGCGAGATGCGAGCCAGCGGCCGGGCCGCAACGCAGCTCCTCAGTGATGAGCTCATGCTGTCTGCGCCGCTTTTGTTGCTGCGAATTGAACTTGTCGTCAAATCAGCTCAATCAACAGCATCTTGAATTTTCGTACGCTATCGGAATGGCCGCGGCCGTAGTGGCGGCAAAGTGGGATTGTGCCGGCATTCACCCGGCTGTCCGCCTGCCTTTCCGCCGCCAGCCGACATCGCGAAACCAAAATTTCCAGTCCGCACATGAGCCAAATCCTCCCGCATTTCCATCCTCCCTCCCCGCCGCTCTGTCCAAGTGCTGCTGCAGCCACTTGCAGATTTTTCTTTTTTCTTTTTTTTGCTTGTGATCTTTTCTCTTGCTCAGAAAAATGAACTCCCTTGCCCGCAGCGCTGCCAATTCGGAAAATGCTCTCTCGAGGGCATCTGTTCGTTTTGCCCCCGCCTGTGGCCGATGTCCCGCCGCATACACTCGGTTAGTTTCTCAGCTTGCGCAGAAGCCTGTCCGGAATGCCGCGAGCCTCGAGCGTGCGGCGCTTCCCGCTGCGCTTTCGATGCCGTTGAGATCTAGCTTTCTTCCTGCCGAACTGCGAATTCCTTCAGTTGCCTCACAATCCCGGCTCTTGCATGTGAGCAGCCGGAGACTTCAAGAGGAGAAGCCAAAGGCCGAGGCAAAGGTTGCCGAGGAAAAGGCTGAGCCAAAGACCAAGGTCGAGGAAGAACCGACCAAGGATTCCGAAGAAAAGGCCGACGGCAAGGCCGACGGCAAGGAGGAAGCCAAGGAGGACGGCAAGGAAGAGGGCAAGGAAAAGAAGGAGGATCTTCCCCCGCCCCCGCCGCATGGCGACAAGACTCCCTGGCAGGTGTTCATGGAGACGATGAACACTGAGCTTCAAAAGTCCCAAGAGTGGAACGAGTCGACCAAGCAAATTGCTGCGTCCGCAAACCAGTTTGCCGAGAGCGAATCAGTCCGACGAGCTCGCGAGGCCTACGAGAAATCCACCGGCGCCATTTCAGAAACCACATCCAAAGTCGCAAAGACTACCGCCACAGCCATTGGAAAAGGCGCGGCATGGACCTGGGACACATCCGTCATGAAGGGTGTGCGAAAGGCTGCCAACGTCACCGGCGATGCCGTGGACAAGGCCACAAAGCCCATCCGAGACACCGAAGCCTACAAGAACGTCAAGAATGTCATTGATGATGGCAGCTCCTCTAGGTATGGTGGTTGGGTCGAGAAGGAGGAGCGTAAGAGGAGAAGAGAGCAGATGGCAAAAGAACGTGGCGGAGACGAAGTCCTTCAGGAGGATCCCAAGTAAGTCTATAACCATCATCCAACCGCTATAGCTAGCGAACCAAGTTTCTAATCACCGCATCACCAGCGCCGGCACCAACGTCACTTTGCACAAGGATGCGGCTTGGAAGGAAGCATGGAGAGACTTCCGCGACAGCAACAAGTTTGTGCAGGGCGTCTTCAGCATGAAGGGCAAATACGAGGAGTCAGAAAACCCCCTCATCTCGACAGCCCGAAGCATCACCGATACGATTGGCGGCTTCTTTGCCGAGAACGAGACGGCCATGGTCATCAAGAAGTTTCGTCAAATGGACCCAATGTTCCAGAGCGAGCCTTTCTTGCAGGAGCTGCGCGAGTACATTCTCCCCGAGGTGCTGGACGCCTACGTCAAGGGAGACACAGAGGTGCTGAAGCAGTGGCTCTCGGCCGCCCAGTTCTCGGTCTACGAGGCTCTCACGAAGCAATATCTCCAGGCAGGCATGAAGTCTGATGGCCGTATCCTGGATATCAGGAACGTCGACATCCTAAAGGCCCGCATGCTGGATCCTGGCGAGATCCCCGTCTTCATCATCACCTGCCGAACTCAGGAGGTCCACGTTTACCGCAATGCCAAGACCAACGAGCTGGCTGCCGGCATGGAGGACAAGGTGCAGCAGGTTACATACGCCATCGGTATCACCAGAGTTCCAGAAGACGTCAACAACCCAGAGACCAGGGGTTGGCGTTTGATTGAGATGCAGAAGAGTGGAAGAGATTGGGTCTAAAAAGAAAGAAAAAGCAAAAAAGAAAGCATGACTTGTACTCGTTTCTTGTATGATTCACGGCGTCTGGGAGCATGGGAGTGATCCTTGGCGAATGAGCCTTGTTGATCTGTGTTAATTATGTATTATTATGTCATCAAAGCATGTGGAAGATGTATATCCAAGGGACAAACGAGACAAAAAAAATTGGGAGGAAAAAAGGGATATGGGGGCATGGGAACAGCATGCCAGGATGAACACACCGCTCTATTATTGGCGCCTAGAGGAGGCGCTTTGACATGTACGATGATGATATGAGGAGGGGAGGGTGGGCGAGAGGTTGGGATATAGACATATAGACATAATCATCAAATGGACAAAAAGGCGATTCACGGCATTGGAAAGATGTTTCTGTCTATTCGAATCTGCCTGTATCTTTGGTCATTCAATCTAGTCTTCATAAGCTAAAAGTGCAAGTCGTCGTGTCCCTCAATTGGTTGATGAATTCCCTCGTCCTGTCAGATTCAATCCCGATTCTCCTGCTTCTCCTCCCTCAGCATATCCCTCACCTCCATCAACGCCTTACCCAATAAATTCAACCCCCAATGCTCTCTACACCCATCCGCATCCGCCTCCTTAAATCCAACCCCCCAAACGGAATCAAACGGGCTCGCCTCTACAAGCTCCCTCTCCCCCGTCGCCAACAGCGTCTCCCTCAAAGATCCCCCAACAAGCGGCAAATCGCCCGTCTGGCCAAGATAAAAGCCCTCTTCCGTAACCGCATTGGTGAATTTTAAATAGTTGCCTTGTCGGACGATGGCTTCGCGGTTAGCGTTCCATATTTCCTCGGAGAAATTCGTGACTTTACGCCCGAGGGCTTTGATTTTGCGTGGGTGGAGGCCTCGTTTGAGGATTTTTGTTGCGGAGGAGTGGTCGTTGAAGAGGATTGCTTTTTGATACATCATGTAACTGATGATTACCTATTAGCTATCTGTCTAATAATGATTGATGAGGGAGGTTGGTGATGATGATGATGCTTACTGTTCGGCGGTTTCGTAGACGATGGCTGGGTTCTTGTCGTCTTTAAAGGGGCAAAAGTACCATTGTGAGAGCCAGCCTGTTTTGGGATCTGTTTCTCTCCAAAAGTAGAGAGGTCGAGTTTGCTTTGATGGTTCTGACATTTTTGGTGAGCTGTGCTTGTGCTTGCTTGATGTTGAGAGTGAGAGAGTACTGAACAAAGCAAAAGCAAAGAGAAAACCTCAAGCTTTATATATCACCTGGACTGTTTATCTCTTATACTTTACATTTCTCGAGTTTGTTCATTGCGAGGCTTTCGAAGATGGTTTTCATTGGATAGCCTGCGCTGTGGTGGCTTTGCGCATCTGCGACTTCCCCAGATTCAGCCTCACTGACTCATCGGCGAGAGAAAGCTTCGGTTGTGTGCAGTCACGGCTGGTTTTGGCGTCGCATATGCAGGGTGTGGCGCATTCACGATAATGAGGAAATAAAGTAGCGATTGAAGCTGGAAGATTGAACTTTATCGTTATTATGCCGTTACTCATAATGGCGGTGACTGTTGATGCGTGGTCAGGGTGGTGTTGAAGGTGCATTGGTATTGGACAAAGGGCGGATGACTGAATCAGTGTCAATTCACTCCCCAAACCACAATATATCACAACGTGATAAAACAACAACAAATAAATACATCATAAATCATACCACCCAAACTAGTAAAAATTAACAACAATGATAATAATAGAAAAACTCTAGTTCAGCACCGGCTGGCGAAGCATCAAATAAGCAATGGCAGGCTCAGTGCCGCCCCATTTCGTCAGGTCCACGACAATCCTGTCCACTTCCTTGAAGCCGTACTTTTCATACAGCGGCCGTCCCTCCTCAGACGCCTCGAGATACGACACCAGCCCGAGCCTGTCGGCCTCTGCGGTTCCCCACTTGAGACACTGGCCGCCGGCACCCCGTTTCTGGTGATCAGGGTCGGTGTGAAGAAGCTTGAGATCTGAACGGCCAGAATGAGTGAGTTACAGTTGTCTTGTCTTATAAGGTTGTAGAGGGTTCAACTTACAAACATGCGGCTTCCCCTCAAACCTCGCCCACCATCTCCGGTCCATCTCGCCGAAAAACGCCTCGCACGCCTCCAGGTTGGTGCCCGCCCCCCACTGGCGCTTCGGGAAGCTTGGTCTCAAGTCTCCGGACCAGATGAACCACATGCTAAAAGCAATCATGGCTTCCTCACCCTTTGCTTCGAGCTCGGTGTCGACGACTTTAATGCACTGGGTGGCGGGCTCCTCTTTGATGCGCGTCGTCATGATGGCGATGCGGTCTTCGAGCTTCATGCCCTCGCCGGGGAAGAAGATGGGAGACGTTTTATTGGGGCCATAGGCTCGCCTTTCGATGGCGATGGAGCGAGGCAGGTCTGACTCGGCGGCTGGGCGGACTGTGAGAGACATGATGGGCAAGCAGCGGAATGACCTTTTGTGATTTGAGATGGAAGACTACGAGACTACGAGACTACTACAAGGAGGTTTTGACTATCTTATATGCAAGTTACGGGTACTAATGCCGGCCATTCCTCGTACATGGCAATCCATCGAAGCTATTCGACTTTGGACTTTTTTCGTGAGGATCCTTTGTCTTCTCCGGCGAGCCCTATTCGGGAAAGACGCCGGGGCGCCGCGCATGTCCGGCGTCACGCATGTTGGTCCACGTTGGGACCGAAATGCCAAATCCGGTACAACGGAGCATATGATTGATGGAAATGGGCCTCAGAACCACTCGCAATCCCTTTTGCAGTTGACTAACGGCGAGCCAAACGTGGTTAATGAGCGCGAAATGGCCACGTTGAATTGCGTGGACTGTTTGTTGCTGGGATCCTGATTGCGATGTGGGAAGTGGGATGTATAAGTGTGTGGAGTTCTGAAGCCGAAGCCCGCGCGGAGAGCCGAAGCCGTTAGTTCTTTGGAGATGGAGAGTGTTCTGCAGCTAGGTAGTTTGGGGAGAGGGATCCGATACATGCAGGACTCTGTACGATGCGTCCGGATGGCAGTATGAATCATCTGGCTTAGCTGCATAGGGCTGCATTTGTTTGACAAGAAGGGAGTGAGTTGGTACTACTAGCAGCAATAGAGTCACCCGCTTATTTAGACCTGTGAGACGGGAGATCCCCAAGTTGGCAATGATAGAGGCAAATCTTGGAGGGTGAAAGTTCGAAAGGTCTAAAGGATGCTTGTATACATGGACCTACCCAAGTAGGCAACATCACAGTGCTTACATTGTTTGGCGGTGATTCCAAATTACAAGCTTGTCTATGCAATTGTTACTATGAGAAGCTGTGAGAAGTAGTTTGATTGCTTTGATCACCTCTGCAGCATACATGAAAAAGTGTCCATCATACCTCATGCAACTTGTTGTAACACCAAGTCACTTGTACTGAGAGTCCGCCCCGTTTCAAACACTGACTCTTCCGTAACAAACGGATCATGTGACTTCCGTTACCAAAACGGAACGCAAAATTCCGCCACTCCATTCATTGGACCTTTGCGAAAACGGAACAGGCGCCGCGGCCCGAAATTTCTAGATTTCCAAAAAACCAAATCCCGGCTCAGCCAGCGCAAACCGACTTTTTTTTCCTCACCACCAAAAGCAACGACATCATCGACCCCGATTCGCCCAACTCCCTCCTTCGACTCGACTCTCTCCCACAGCCATGGATCACGGACGCGACCCTTGTCCCTTTGTCATTCTCAATGACTTTGGCGGTGCCTTTGCCATGGGCGTACGTTGATAAAGCCTCTCTCTTTCTCCCCTCCCTCCCCCCACATTGGCACTACAGGTTGTCATCGACGCAATATTTTGGGTATCATGGCGGGCTGACTGGTTTTTTGATTGTTTTGATCTGCAGGCCATTGGCGGAACCATCTGGCACGGCATCAAGGGCTTCCGAAACTCTCCCTACGGCGAGCGCCGCATCGGTGCCATCACCGCCGTCAAGATGCGAGCTCCCGTCCTGGGCGGCAACTTTGGCGTCTGGGGCGGTCTCTTCTCGACCTTTGACTGCGCCGTCAAGGGCATTCGAAAGAAGGAGGATCCTTACAACGCCATCATGTGAGCATTGCATCCGTTGACACCGGCGAGCATATGGGTGAAACTGGGGTTGCTAACAAAAAACCTTGTGCAGTGCGGGCTTCTTCACTGGTGGTTCCCTTGCCTTCCGTGGTGGTGTCAAGGCCGCCCGAAACAACGCCATTGGCTGCGCCGTCCTGCTGGCCGTCATCGAGGGTGTCGGTATCGCCTTTGGAAAGATGATGTCTGGATCAACTAAGCTGGAGATGCCCCAGCCGCCGCCCAACTCTGAAGTCCAGGCGTTGTGAGGTGGAAAGCAGAAAAAGGATGACCGAAACGAAACGAAAACCCCGAATCGATATTATGCCTCTCTCAACTCTGCCTTTTTTTACTTGAGTCTTGTCTTTTATTCCACTTTACTGGTCTTGGTGATTTTCGACCTTTTTACGCACCAATTATTATTACTTTTCTCTCCCTGTTGACTCTGCGGCGCCAGAAGGTCTACAAGGATAGAGAATTCCACTCGAACATGAACGATGAGAGAAGGGGAGAAAAAAAGGAGGGGAGAATCAATCTCCGAACATCTACCAATATCTATGGATAATCTGCAAACCGCATCGCACTGGCGTTTTCCGTGAATTATAGATATAGGCAAGGGAGGGAAACTCTGGGTCCGCGGGAACAAAACGAGAAGTCGAAGAAAAAAGAAAAACATCTACGCGGGGGCTGGGAAACTGGTGTTTGTGAGTCTTTTTCACAATGTACGAATATATAAAAAGAAGAGTCGGCGTGGAGGAGGACACACGCTGCTCTGTGTATTGCTGGTGCCTTTTGGAAACAAGGCCGGTGGATGCTGTAATCCAAATATGAAATGAATTTCGGGGCAATGAGGCCCCTTGAACAACTGCACTTGATTGCGCTCTCATATAAATCTTCATATTGCTGGGAACATGTTGATCTCAAATCTAAATCTCTATATTACTAGGTACATGTTGATCTTCAAAACTCACAGCTCGTCTGCAGATCCATTCGACCAGATACTCATCACCGCCTCCCCATCATCATCAATCCAAGCCCTATACATGCCACCGCAGTTATACTCCATCAGCACTTCCGACTTAACACCCACTACACCACCATCTTCATCTCGCTCCAGGACGCATTCAATACCAATTATCCCGCCCTCGCCCTCTCCCGTCCGGCCCCATCGATCTCCCGCACTCTTCTGCAACTCGCCCCCCGGACCGGCAACTCTCGCCAATGCCTTATTTCCAGCAATAGGCTTGTATCGCGCAATCGCCGCAACCGTACGCACAGCATTGACACGCAGAAACGAATCCCCGTTCCCCGTCCCCGAGAACCCCATGCATCGTGTCGAAGATGAGGGCACAAACTGCCCAGCAGGAGAATACAGCCACGGCGTAGGGAAACAATCCGCAAGCAACCCCTTCAACGGCCCAACAAAACTCACTCCAGGCCTTACGCCCTTAACAACCCCCTCCAATCCCTCTTCATCCCACTCCTCAGCCCAGAATCCTGCCCCGACGACGGGCGTGTCGCCAATTCGGCCTGTCAACTTATTCGTCATCCCGCCTGTACTCGTAGCAGCGCATACCACGCCGTCTGCATCTAGAGCTACCGCTCCGCACGTTCCCTGCGGAAGATACTCCTCTGCATGCCATGTTCCTGAGCTCAGTCCGTTTTGCTCGCGCTCCAATGCACGGACATGTTCGTCCCAGCGCTGCTGCGTGAAAAAGTATTTCGGGTCGACCATTTCAAGACCATACATTTGGGCTAATTGCTCTGCTGTCTGACCGTGAAGCTGTGTATGTCCCTGCGCAGACGGAACATTCAACCCCCCATTTTCACTCTCATCAACATCAACATCCATATCCAAGAGCGGAGAAGAAAAAGAAGAAGAAGATGGCACAGACCCCGCAGGCGCAAGATCCCGCTCCCCATGCTCAAGCATCTTCCTCGCCAACAGAATCGGATTGCGCACTCTCCGCAGCCCCATGACGCCCACGCCGCGCTTCTTGAAGCCCCGCGAGACCATTACGGAAGCTTCTAGCTCGTTAATGCCGTCGCGGGTGAAGACTGCGCCGTGGCCGCTGTTGAAGAGCGGGTTGTCTTCTAGTTGGGCGACGGCATGGGTGGCGATTTCTAGAGCAGAGGGGTGGTTCCTTGAGGGTTTCTCGCTGTGTGTGGGTGAATTCATGTAGTCTCGCGTTTTGGAGACCTTTTTTATTTCATCTCATTGTATCAGCTTTGTTTGGGCGGAGTGAAGCGTACATATATGTAGCTGTTGATTTGGAGAGAGATTGGGAAAAACTCACGATTGAGAGAAGAGAGGATCGGTAGGCGGCATATTTGTCGGCGGGGAAATTGCTGCGAAGTATGTTTCCAGCGCCGCCGTGGATGATGAGTCGAGGCTGGATCTTCACTTCGGAGTCTGAGACGGAGTGTTGTTGTCTGTACTCCATGGTGAGAGAAAGAAAGGGAGATAAGGCTTGCGGCGGTAGACTTAAAGCACGGATGGAGTTTGAATGAAATACTCTTAAGAGTAAACTCAAAAGAAGTAAATGTCACGACGAATATGTCGTAAAAAGTGTTAGTTCCTGAGATGAAATCTACTACATAAATGGAAGCAAAAGACGCTCATCTACACCATCTTATCTTGATAACTCGAAGTCGAACAAGCGGAGTTGAAATACCGCCTCCACATTTGTTCTACCGTCTGGGCGGATCACCTGCCTAATCGGGCATCCTTACTCAACCCACCGCGATAGCCGGCTTCGGCTTCGGAATGGTTTTCCATCCCCTCGGCCAAATCAAGGCATGTTTTTCATCGTAAGATTAATGGATTTCACCAATTTCCGTGGAACATGGCCTCTTATTTTTACAATTGCTTATTTCAACAGATGCTCATTTCAATCATGTCCAGTACCAGCCCAGCCTAGTACCCCTTCTTGTATCATTGCACATTAGACGGATAGTTGGGGCACCAAAGAAAGAAGGACGCTCACGTCCATGTAAAACATTATATATTCGTGTTTCGTGAACCAAATGATCAAAAAGGTGGTTTATCCCCGTGTCGGGCGAAACGAATGCCGCCATGTAGATTCCCCAATTAAGACAATAAAAATATCAACACGCTTTCCGCCGGTGCAGACAAGGAGTCCGTTAGCCCTGGACTTCCGTGGTATGTATCCTTTATAACTCCCGTTGCTCCAAGTATCAATCGATGGGCTTGAATCAGTGCCCCAGATGCGTTTTCCCGCCCTCCTGATTTACCATGAAAATCAGTAACAAAGCCTCTGTCTCTAAAATGTTCTTTTCCGGTCCGATAGTATGATGGCGTGTAACTCTTTGCACGTTGCGAGTCAAGATGTGGTGTTTCGAGTCGATCACGATGCGCTAGAGGTTGATAGTCCCGCCGCAATCTTGACAGATTTGATCACGTCCTTCGGCCGCACACCCGGTACCCTGCCAAGGCAGACTGACCGACCAACCAGTTCTAATACATGTCAGTAATCTGATATCAAGAGATGAAGAAAGAAGGCACAATAGTCAAAACATACCTTCTATCAGCCTGCGAATGTCGACGGAAACTTTCGTCTTTGGCCAGCTAGATCCCGTAGACCACATCTGGCCGAAATCGTGACTGTTCATAAATGCGACTAATCCTCCATTCGGGTCAGATTCGTCTCCAAACTCTGTCATTTTGCTGCTCTGACCTTCTGATGAGTCCCCTCGTAGAGAACTTCCGAAATCGCCAATGGAAGAGGTGTTCATTTGCCACATGTTGCTGTGGATTCCGCCGCCGTTGCCTAGGCCCGAGCTGCCGGGTGACAATCCGATGCTAGCAAAGTGACTCTTTGTGCTGGCATCGTCGGCAGCTTGGAGGTCATTGAGGTCCAGTTCTGTTTCGAGATAGTCGACGTTGGGAGGAATACTCAAGCCAAGCCTGCGCAAGAACAACTCTACTTCGTCAGCTGTGAAAAACTCGCCCTCAAAGTTTTGGCAAATCATCCGTATCCGCTGCTCCGTTCGCTCATCAGAACCAGTTGAAGACTGTTGGTTAAATGCCGACGTCAGGCCAGAAAAGGCACTGTTCGATTTGCCCAAGGAAAGTAGCGCATGGCCCAAGTCATCCGAGCCACCCGAGGAAAAGGCACTGTCCAAGAATCCAAATTGATCAGATGTCGACAACTTCCAGTCCATGACCTCGCTCTGAGCCTTTTTCAGGCCAGCGGCCAATCTGCGGATAATCGATTCTCGGGATTCAAACAGTAAGCAGAAGCCGAAAACAGTCGCATATTGCTCAGGGGGCGGGTTTTTCATTGTAGCTAGCCTGAGGCCGCGCTCCAGGGTTGTCCGCTGCAACCTCTTGCTAAAGGAGCGCTCGCTAAAGCCGAATGGCGCGGGTGGTGAGAGTCGGGGGTAGGGCGAAGGGCTGGCGATGGAGTTGCCCAGATAGCTGCCGCTCTGGGGCTGTGAGGAGGATGCATCGAGGGAGAAGAAAGGGAAGCTGGCGTTGTTTGGCGTGGCTGAGGCGATGACTTCGTAGTTGAAAGCAGCTGGATGCTGGTGCTGGGATGTGGAAAAGGTAGAAGCCGTGATTTCCGGTTCGAGAATGCTGCTCTGGGAGCCGAGGCTCATGGCGATGTCGTTGGCTCCCTTGCGGCCGGCTCCAGGTTTGGCCACAATGGATTCGTCGCTGTCTGGTGATGTGATGCTGCTGGTTCCCACCATGCTGGAGATGCGGAGGAGCCTGTCGGCGATGAGTCTAAGGCGAGGGGCGGCATGAGGGGCAATGTCAAAGATGCCTTCGGCTAGGATGATGTCGTAAAACTTGGTAAACTCCTTGCTCATGGCTTCATTTGAGGCCTCGAGATCCTTGACTTTTTGCTCGAGGGTGGTGATGGCGGTGTCTTTGCGATGTCTGTATGCTCGCTGAGCAAGGCGAATCTGGGTTCGACGACGCTGCAGTAAAGTGAAGAGGTTAGATTACATTGCACGATTCCATGTTGCCTGGAAGCACGCATGCCTAAAGAGAGGGAGATGGTAACAGAGGACGTGAAGAAGAAGAAGACAGTGCCATTGATAGTGATAGTGATAGTGCTCGTGCTTGTGTTGTGAGGGCGATAGTGATGATGAATCATGATGGTTGTGGAAATATCTGCCAAGCTTCGTTACTCACATCGGCGGCTGTCTCGTCCTTGGTGTCGAGCCGCGGACGGCCTCTAGAGCGCTTCTTCTGCACGGCATCGTCCTCGTCATGATCCGACTCTGGCGAGCGCTTGCCATTGACCTGTCTGGGCTCCTCGCCATACTTTTCGGCATTGAGAATCGAGATTTCGCTCTGCAGCGACGGCAAGGGGGACCGGCCCTCAGCCCGAGACAGGCGACTCATGCTGTGCTGTGAGCTGTGCTGTGAGCTGTGCTGTGAGGTGCTGTGCTATGCGGTGCTATGCGGTGCAATCGGGCGTCGTATGCGTGGGTGGGTGATTAGTCGAGGCTACGGAGTGTGTATGGTGGTGAAAGAATAATCCAGCGGAGAAAACAAGGCAAGGTTGGAGAGATTGGTCGTGACGTCGGGGTTCAGAAAACAGGCGCGGGGCACAAGACAGGAATATACTAATAGTTAATACTATTTTGTATAGCCCGGACAAGGACTATTTCATCCGCGTTCGTCCGGTAACAGGTAACAAGCTCGGTGAGGGTGGCAGGGCAGGGCAGAGCAGAGAAGATGCCCCAAGCTGCAGTTAGTTGGAGAGGGCGGAATCTCGCTGACGAGCCGCACGTACCGCTCCGCACCGCAAAGAAGGCCGCAGGTTTGTGCTTGCGCTTACAGTACAAGGTGGATGGGATGGATGGATCCGACGCAGGGTTTCGTTTCTGGGGGGGTCAAGCAGAAGCAGGTCAGGTCAGGGGCCGTGGAGCTGGACAGTCCAAGTGCAGACAGATGCTTGGCGCGTGGACTCGGTAACAGCCCTACAGTACAGTACAGATGACAATGGAGCTGCTGTTTGAGCAAGGTGGTCCCTTACAAGTGTCTTCTGTGAGAATGAACGTGTACAGTAACTCGTAAGAATTGTGAGGTTGTGAGTTGAGGTTACAAGGTTGTGCCGTGGTGTGTCGGTAACAAATGGAACAACTGAACTGACTGTGGAATGTTGAGAAACTTGGGGTACGGAGTCGGTTTTCCTTTCTTCTCCATCCCCGTCTCTGGCGGCTGTTGACCTGCTGAGCCGCCAGAATTGCGCCTTAACCGTAGCTGGATTGATTACGAAGCAGCAGCCCGTTTCTGACGTCGTCTCTCAACAACCATCACTAACTAACTAACTCAGCAGCCCCCAAAAACCAACCGAAGCGAAGACTAGGTACTCGGTAGTACATCAATGTAATCACGCTTCAACCACCAGCCACGTGTAGAGCCATCAGCCGGTTTCACACCACTCTATGTTCATAGCTGTAGCTGGTACATGAATTCCCGTTACTCACAGGCAGCCACTCGTTGATACTGGTACTCGTACACAGACCACGGGCTTGCCGGCGTGATTAGATAATGCGGCGTCGCTAGGCCACATGCAGACGAACTAAGCGCAATTATTAAGCAGTTCGAGGCGGGCAGAAGCTCCGCGACAGCTGTCCAAGATGTGGCTAGCCGTCTTAGGAAGTCGGTAGCCTGGCAAGTCCTGGTCCTAGCGTGGAGCAAAGTTGCGACTTCCGTGCCGGGCGCCTTTCGGCTCAAGCCTCAACTAGCCTTAGTCATGTCAATTGAGAGCTGTGATTGGCTGTGATCGGACATCTGGTTTAGGAAGTAACGGCGATGCACAGTATGGTATCATTGTAGACCAGAGGGCGTACGGAGTAAGGACTCGTACCAGCTTGGGGGCGACAGGTGCCTTGGTACTGGTGCTGGAACTGAACCTAGGTTGGTGAGTAGCATGGATGTCCCAGCAGATCATGGCGAATCTCGTTTGGCGGGAGTAGCTCAAGGAAATAATACCAACCCAGCTTGGGGAGTGAAAGAGGCAAGTTCCGCGATTCCTGGGGGGTATCGACGGCATCTTCCTCTCAGCGCAGATTCTTACCAGCGTCCGTCCAATCTCAAACAAGGTACGCGTAAGGAGCAAATGCAAAATGCTGCCAATTCCGGGCCTAGCCCCCCAGTTAGCACTGTGCCCCGTAGGTACTTGCAGAATGGTAGAACACAGAGCTATTTGGGGGGTCTAGACGCTCCAGACGCCAAACAGGGCTGCTCGTCCCACTCTTTGCCTTGGGCCCACCGCCTTCCAGAAGTAGGCTCCAGATTCTGTCACCGCCTGCCCAGACTCGTTAGACCCACAGAGTGTACATACCGAAACAGCTGCGATCCATGCGTCGACGGCCGCAACAGAAGCAAATTCAACCTCGTAGCTCCATCAGAGCTCGGAGATCGTCCAGACTCCTAATCAAAGCCCTTGATTATGCTATGTCATCCATTCATTGCGGCAGTGTGGCAACTGAGCACTTCTGGAGTACACTCGAGAGTACAGGTACTGTATACTATCTGGCAGACAGTGGAAAATGAGAGACGGGTCCGCGGTGCTGCAAGAGATGCAATTCGATATCCGACGGAACTACACAGCTTCAAACTCCAAGTCCTACGA